AGAGATAAGGAGGCACACTACCTAATGATCAAAGGATCAATCCAAGATGAAAATATAACAATTATAAATGTTTATGCACCCAACATAGAAGCACCTCAATACAAAGGCAAATGCTAACAACCATGAAAGGAGAAATTGACAGTAACACAACGACAGTACGGGACTTCAACACCCCACTTACACCAGTGGACAGATCACCCAAACAGAAAATAAATAAGGAAACACAAGCTTTAAATGACACAATAGACCAGATGGATCTAATTGATATTTACAGAACATTCCACTCAAAAGTGGCAGAATACACTTTCTTCTCAAGTGCACATGGAATATTCTCCAGGATAGATCACATCTTGGATCACAAATCAAGCCACGGAAAATTTAAGAAAATTGAAATCGTATCAAGCATCTTTTCTGACTACAATGTTATGACACTGGAAATCAATTATAGCAAAAAAACTGCAACAAACACAAATACATGGAGGCTAAACATTGTGCTACTAAATATCCAAGAGATCATTGAAGAAGAAATAAAAAAATACATAGAAACAAATGACAATGAAAACACAATGACCCAAAACCTACGGAAAGCAGCAAAAGCAGTTCTAAGAGGGAAGTTTATAGCAATTCAATCTCACCTCAAGAAACAAGAAAAATCTCAAATAAACAATCTAACTCTACACTTAAAACAACTAGAGAAAGAAGAACAAAGAAAACCTAAAGTCAGTAGAAGGAAAGAAATCATAAAGATCAGAGCAGAAATAAATGAAATAGAAACAAAGAAAACAATAGCAAAGATCAATAAAACTAAAAGCTGGTTCTTTGAGAAGATAAACAAAATTGATAAACCCTTAGCCAGACTCATCAAGAAAAAAAGGGAGAGGAAGCAAATAAATAAAATTAGAAATGAAAAAGGAGAAATCACAAATGACAATGCAGAAATACAAAGGATTATAAGAGACTACAACAAACAACTATATGTCAATAAAACGGACAACCACGAAGAAATGGACAAATTCTTGGAAAGGTACAATTTTCGAAGACTGAACCAGGAAGAATTAGAAAATATAAACAGACCTATCACGAGTAATGAAATTGAAACCATAATTAAAAATCTTCCAACAGGGCTTCCCTGGTGGAGCAGTGGCTAAGAATCCGCCTGCCAATGCAGGGGACACAGGTTCGAGCCCTGGTCCAGGAAGATCCCACATGCTGCAGAACAACTAAGCTCGTGTGCCACAACTACTGAGCCTGTGCTCTAGAGCCTGCGAGCCACAACTACTGAGGCTGCGTGCTGCAACTACTGAAGCCCGCATGCCTAGAGCCTGTACTCTGCAACAAGAGAAGCCACCGAAACGAGAAGCCTGTGCACCGCAACGAAAAGTAGCCCCCGCTCACCTCAACTAGAGAAAGCCTGCGCACAGTAACGAAGACTCAACACAGCCAAAAAATAAATAAATCAATAAAATAAATAAATTAAAAAAAAAAATCTTCTAACAAAGAAAAGTCCAGGACCAGATGGCTTCACAGGCAAATTCTATCAAACATTTAGAGAAGAGCTAATAACACCCATCCTTCTCAAACTCTTCCAAAAAATTACAGAGGGAGAAACACTTCCAAATTCATTCTATGAAGCACCATCACCCTAATACCAAAACCAGAAAAAGATATCACAAAAAAAGAAAATTATAGACCAATATCACTGATGAATATAGATGCAAAAATCCTGAACAAAATACTAGCAAACAGAATCCAACAGCACATTAAAAGGATCATACACCATGATCAAGTGGGATTTATCCCAAGGATGCAAGGATTCTTCAATATATGCAAATCATGCAATGTGATACACCACATTAACAAATTAAGGAATAAAAACCGTATGATCATCTCAATAGATGCAGAAAAAGCTTTAGACAAAATTCAACACCCATTTATGATAAAAACCCTGCAGAAAATGGGCATAGAGGGAAACTACCTCAACATAATAAAGGCCATATATGACAAACCCACAGCAAACATCATACTCAATGGTGAAAAACTGAAAGCATTCCCACTAGGATCAGGAACAAGACAAAGATGTCCACTCTCTCTACTCTTATTCAACATAGTTTTGGAAGTCCTAGCCACAGCAATCAGAGAAGAAAAAGAAATAAAAGGAATACAAATTGGAAAAGAAGAAGTAAAACTGTCACTATTTGCCGATGACATGATACTATACAAAGAAAATCCTAAAGATGCCACCAGAAAACTACTAGAACTAATCAATGAATTTGGAAAGGTTGCAGGATACAAAATTAATGCACAGAAATCTCTGGCATTCTTATACACCAACAATAAAAAATCAGACAGAGAAAGTAAGGAAACACTGCTATTTACCATTGCGCATAAAGAATAAAATACTTAGGAATAAACCTGCCTAAGGAGACGAAAGACCTGTACTCAGAAAACTATAAAACACTGATGAAGGAAATCAAAGATGACATAAACAGATGGAGAAATATACCAAGTTCTTGGATTGGAAGAATCACTATTGTGAAAATGACTATAGTATCCAAAGCAATCTACAGATTCAATGCAACCCCTATCAAACTACCAATGGTATTCTTCACAGAATTAGAACAAAAAATCTTACAATTTGTATAGAAACGCAAAAGACCCTGAAGAGCCAAAGCAATCCTGAAAAAGAGAAACGGAGTTGGAGGAATCAGGCTCCCTGACTTCAAACTATACCACAAAGTTACAGTAATCAACACAGTATGGTACTGGCACAAAAACAGGAATTTACATGAATAGTACAGGATAGAATGCCCAGAGATAAACCCACGCACATATGGGCACCTAATTTACGACAAAGGAGGCAAGAACATACAATGGAGAAAAGACAGCCTCTCAGTAAGTGGTGCTGGGAAAACTGGACAGCTACATGTAAAAGAATGAAATTAGAACACTCCCTAACACTCTACACAAAAATAAACTCCAACTGGATTAAAGACTTAAATGTAAGGCCAGACACTATAAAACTTTAGAGGAAAACATAGGAAAAACACTGACATAAACCACAGCAAGATCTTTTTTGACTCATCTCCTAGAGTAAAAGAAATAAAAACAAAAATAAACAAATGGGACTTAATTAAACTTAAAAGCTAAAAGCTTTTGCACAGCAAAGGAAACCAACAAGAAGACAAAAGGCAACCCTCAGAATGGGAGAACATATTTGCAAATGAATCAACAGACAAAGGATTAATCTCCAAAATATACAAACAGTTCATGGAGCTCAATATCAAAAAAACAAACAATCCAGTTAAAAAATGGGCGGAAGACCTAAATAGACATTTCACCAAGGAAGACATACAGATGGCCAAGAGGCATGTAGAAAGATGCTCAACATCACTAATTATTAGAGAAATGCAAATTAAAACTACAATGAGATATCACCTCACACTGGTCAGAATGGCCATTATCAAAAAAGCTAGAAACAATAAATGCTGGAAAGAGTGTGGTGAAAAGGGAACCCTCCTACACTGCTGGTGAGAATGTAAACTGATACAACCACTATGGAAAACAGTATGCAGGTTCCTTAAAAAACTAAAAATAGAACTACCATATGACCCAGCAATCCCACTACTAGGCATATACCCTGTGAAAACCATAATTCAAAAAGAGACATGCACCACAATGTTCATTGAAGCACTATTTACAATAGCCAGGACGTGGAACCAACCTAAATGTTCATCGATAGATGAATGGATAAAGAAGATGTGGCACATATATACAATGGAATATTACTCAGCCATAAAAAGAAACAAAATTGAGTTATGTGTAGTGAAGTGGATGGACCCAGAGTCTGTCATACAGAGCGAAGTAAGTCAGAAAGAGATAAACAAATACCGTATGCTAACACATATATATGGGCTCTAAAAAAAAAAATGGTACTGATGAACCTAGTTGCAGGGCAGGAATAAAGAGGCAGACATAGAGTATGGACTGAATGACACGGGGTGGGACGGCAAAGCTGGGGTGAAGTGAGAGTAGCATCGACATATATACACTACCAAATGTAAAATAGTTGGCTGGTGGGAAGCAGCAGCATAGCACAGGGAGATTGGCTCCGTGCTTTGCAATGACCTAGAGGGGTGGGATAGGGAGGATCGGAAGGAGGCTCAACAGGGAGGGGATATGGGGACATGTGTATGCATATGGCTGATTCGCTTTGTTGTGTAACAGAAACTAACTCGGTATTGTGAAGCGCTTATACTCCAATAAATATCTATTAAAAAAAAAAAAAAGGTTGAAAATATCTAGTAAAGCTGAAGATGAGCAAACCCCATGATCCAGCTTTTCTATTTCTAGGTATGTTCCCTAGAGGAGCATTTTTCAATTTGATGGTCTCAATCCTTCAGGGGCTACAAAATCAACAATCTTTAAAGTAGAATAAAAAATATCAGAAAATACACATACACATAAGGTATACACATCAGTTACTTACTGAAACTGTGTTAAGGTATGTATGTATGTACATATGTACTGAACTGTTATAGAAAATGTAATTGGCAATATGGAGTTTTAAAGAAGCTGCCCTAGAGAAATGTTCCTACAAGTACACATGGATGTTCACTTTTGAACAGTTTATAATAGCAAACAACTTGGACAAGAAATCTGAATTGTGTTCACTAAAAGAATGGATAAATGGATATTCACACTACAGAAAAATGTGAGCTATCAAAATGAATGAACAAGACTCAATGTATCAGCATGGATAAAGTTTTAAAAAATGATACCAAGGGTAAAAGAAAAAAGTTGAAGAAGGATACATATGGTTTACTGCTGTTTCTATAAAGTGAAAAAAACTCATAAAAACTATGTATTATTTATGCAGACTGATGCCATGTAATAGTAGAAATGATACATATAAGGTTCTCATACTTAATGAGAGGGAAGAGTAAAAAGGGAGCTCTAGCTATGTTTAGAACATTTTGTTTTCTAAAATCTCTAAGACCAACCTGTGGCAATGATTTATCTCCATTAGCATGCATCTTTAACTTCATCAATGCTACCTTTGCAGCTGTTTCACTATTTTTTGCACCTTTCCGTCGTTTGCTTGCTGTCTCTCCTCTCTTGGAATCTAAGAAATAAGTGTAAGCATATAAGCAAATAAGAACTTTTACATTTTCCAGAGTTTTATTTTTATTATTATTAACTATGGCCCTGAAATGTACATGAATTACATATTATAGAGATATATAGAGACCACATTCATTTTATAGGTATGATCAATGGAAAAATACCACTGAGTTGACCTAAGTGATTTCCACATCAAAAACAAGTTATGTGCCTCTTTCCAGCTTAAATCTATTTAATCCAGAGCAATCACTAACACTTCTACAGAGAATTTTAAGATCTGGTTATAGAAGATTTTAATTTGATTAATTTAATTTAATTTAAAGTAACACCCTTAATATAAAATGAAAATTCAGCTGAACTAACATGGTAGCAGACAGACTGGTCTAAACCACAGATACATTCTTTCCTCATATGTCAGAATATCAGCAGCATTCATAGGACAGCTGACTGGGCTTAAACTTTAGTCTTTAAAGAATGTAAACCACTACTTCAGCCTCATGAATACAATTTTTAGCCAAGATGGTTAACCAGCTGATATAAATGGACCAGCAAAAGAGAACATCTGGTAGGATATTTCCATAGAATTTCCAAATTTTCATTGGAAAGCCTTGTGAGAAATACTGTCACAAGAATGTCATCAAAATCTATAGCAAGTTACAACCATCAGGGTTGCTAACAACACCTTCCATAACTGGCAAGCGGACACGAGAAGCAGGGCTCTGGAACTCATATAGAGTATAGAGAGCAGTAGGGAAACAACAAAACAAGCTTTCTAGATACTTGCCAATAATGTCTTTAACAAGTTTCTGAGTGGCAGCCATACGAGACTTAGGGATTTCCAGTTCTTCACATTCATGATCTGACTGATGACGATGTCTATGAGCAACAGAAGAGTGACACTAGTTCATGTATTTGCATATGACTTAAACAGATATACAGAGTTTGAATCGTCTCAGTGATCACCTCAGGCAAAAATTCTTCTCACAATAAGGACACATAACTGGCACAAGCTCTCTTTCAGCACAGTCCTTGAATGAGCATGGGGAAGATGTATGTGTATCTGACTTCAGTCTCTCAATTACAGTAACCTGAAAATGTAAAATGGGGGACGTGATATTATATTTCACATTTAAAGCAAATCAACAAATCTATTCTGGATATCCATATCATTTTTGCTTAAACTTATAAGAGAAACTCACACATTCTCACATAGATTATAAAAATTGTTCATGTAAGAAATGATTACTGTGCTGACTGCTCTACATTTCCAAAGTTTTCCTACTGTGGTGTATTTATCTTCTAAGTCAAGTTAAAATGACTACTCAGTTACTCTCCATAATTTTAGTCTTCTACTTTGTAACATACTACACAAAGATGCCTCCGTAATAATATGCTTAGGTAATCAGCTCATCACTCCTCAAATGGCAAGTCATATCTACTTTCTATACTGGTTTTAGAGGCTTAAATACATGTAAAAGAACACTTAAAATTATATGTTTTTCCATGATACAGAGGGTTAAAGACAGTTTTCACAACGATATACTATTCTTTTTTTAAAATAATTAATTAATTTATTTATTTATTTTTGTCTGTGTTGGGTCTTCATTTCTGTGCACGGGCTTCCTCTAGCTGTGGCAAGCGGGGGCTACTCTTTGTTGCGGTGCACAGGTTTCTCATTGCAGTGGCTTCTCTTGTTGCGGAGCATGGGGTCTAGGCACGTGAGCTTCAGTAGTTGTGGCACGCAGGCTCAATAGTTGTGGCTCGTGGGCTCTAGAGCACAGGTCCAGTAGTTGTGGTGCATGGGCTTAGTTGCTCCACAGCATGTGGGAATCTTCCTGGACCAGGGCTCGAATCCACGTCCCCTGCATTGGCAGGTGGATTCTTAACCACTGTGCCACCAGGGAAGTTCCACACGATATACTTTATTTTGTATTTAATACTGTATTACTAGCAAATATTACATCAGAGAAAAAAGAGCTTTTATGAGATAAAAAGAAGTCCAGATCACTCAGGCTATTTTGAGTATTAAGTAACTAGGTTTCTAGAACTGAATGAACTCAGTAGACCCTTGCACAACTCAGGGGCTGAGGTACAAACCCTCCACGCAGTTGAAAATCCAAGTATAACTTTACAGTCAGCTCTCCATATCTGCAGTTCTGCACCTGCAGATCCAATGCATTGTATAGTACATACCTAGTGAAAAAAATCCACGTATAAGGGGACCCACACAGTTCAAACCTATGTTGTTCAAGGGTCAACTGTAATTGCTTGAAATCTATAACCAAAGCGCATTCCTCTATATAAATGATAGTTACATCTTGTTGGAATTAACTTCTTAACTATTTTTTCAAATTTATTCCAATGGTCTAAAGGTAGAAGATTTTTATTTCACCTTTAAATTAATAAGATCTAATTGAGAGACATTCATAGAAATCAAATCATATAAGAAAAATGAAAACACAGGGAAGATTTACAAGCTGTATAACAAACATGAATATGTTTACTATATGACTCTATATGAGTATTTCCTTCCAAGTAATCCTGAATAATACCAATATGTTACTTAATTTTTATTTCCTCAAATAAATCACCAAAACTTCAAAGGGCCAGATTTTGACTGAAGCTCATTTAACCTTAATTTTCTATAATCAAGAGACTCAGTAAAGTGTTTGGTAAACGGTGGGCAGGAATAAATATCAACTGCAAAACGTGAGGTAAATGCTTCTTTCCAAATGGAGTAAATTCAGTTTAACTTCCTGCTGACCTCTGATCCAAGGGAGGTGGAACAACTTCTCTGATCACAAATTTGAGAAAATTACATTAGGCTCAGCTTTCTCTTTTTTTCCTTGGAAGCCTAACCTGGTGCAGCATTGCTGTGACTGGTGGGCAAATCCACCTAATTCTGGATTTCCTTTGCAGACTCTACACTAAGCTATATCATTTTTGGCTCTACATTAAGCTATATCATTCAACTTATTCTTTATCAGTAATAAAGATGATATTTCGGCTTCTATTTAACAGCCCTTTTTAATCTCTTGATTTGGTCCAAATTAGGGTAGGGAGATTTTGCTGGACTACAGGTTTGCTCCTAGTGACCTAAGGCTGATGGAGTCAGAACAATGTATTACCACAGAGTCCTAACACCAGGCACCAGTGAAAATGAATGAAACAGTGAAGCAAACTGGAAGGATTATATGATGAGGATGTTAATTCCATTATGTATTTATAAATATAGAGCCTAAAGCTATAAGCAGGCTATGTAAACAGAAATGAAGTACAAAGGAATAAGAATTATAAGAACAAAAATTTATAAATACCAAGTAGACTATTTTATGTTAAAACATACTGAGAAAAATAATATAAATAAAGTAAGACCCTCTTACATAATCAGTTTAGTCTGCCAAATTTTAATCTGTGGTACACTGGGATTAAATTGAATCAAATTCTGAATGAAAGTACATAAACACAAACATGTTTTACCGGGAGATATTAACATACCTCAGGACAGCTATGTGACTCCCTGCTCCTGTGTTCAAGGCTTAAATAACAACAAAAAAAGTGTTTATTTAAATGTAATCAAATAATGTACTTAAAGATAACTGCAGTAATTTGAGATATTTTAATGGTTAGTATCCTTAAGATTAACTACACTCACACTACATTAACAACTCTGCCTATAAGAATAAACTGAAATGACAGATAAATAAAAGAGCATCTATAGTCTCAAAAGTTTTAAAACCCAACTACTATTCAACTTCAATATGAGTACAAAAATTCACCACTCTTAATTACCTTTACTTTGAGTGCTTTAAGGTGTGTGAAAATGCAGACCCTTTTGATTCTTTTATTTCTCAAAAATAATCAGTAATAAAATGTCAAAGGAGTGTTCTAGTTCTGAATGACTTAAAACTATGCATTATTTTTATTTACTTCTAATAAATCTTTCTGAATCATCTTCTGAAAAGAATTTATTCTTTCAGTGCTCTATGTAATAAATTAAATACCTGATACTTGAAAGTTTAATTGAAAAGAAAATGCATTTTCCAAAATTCTTGTTTGTTCCCAGGTTTTACTTTACATGTGATGTGTGTGCAAAGGACGTATAGTACTCAATTTAAGAAATATAAAGGTTGGGCTCTTTTCATTTTATTAATTAAAATAAAGACTAATAATCATAACTGGATTTTTTTTTACCATATCCTTTATATTGTGGATATGTTCTCTCCTTGTGATTAAAAGACATATATGTGACTTTTACATAAAAATCACACACATCACCCCATTTCTGGAAAGTTTAAAGACTAGCCACATATATGTACAGGTAATCAGAGTCTATGACTAGTCTATTTTTTTTCCCCAAGTGATTACTATAATGAATATCAGATATCAGTGGCTAAAGTAAAAACTATTTTAAATCATTCTACTTTTTAGAAATAAATCTCATATTATAAACACTAAAATTTCTCCCAAATAAAGCATAAAAACTTAACTTACCAAAATATTCCTGAACAACCATCACATACAAATGGAAGAAAATCTAAAATTGAGGGGAAATGTTATATGTTCTGGTCAGTAACTGATTTTGATTTAGTTTTCTTAAGTAAAAAGAACCTTAAAGTACTGAACTATGGCTATAGGAGAATTTTCCTTTTTGAACAATATCCTAGTGCAGCAAGCAGTGGTTAAACAAAAGCCATCACAACCTCAAGCACTTTGAAAGTAACTGGATTATCAGAAGATAAATGTTACTTGTTGTAGCATGCTAAACCAGAAAGAAAAAAAGAAGTCCTGTGAGTTTTCTGTTTGTTTCCCAGATTTACTAGGTGTTGTTTCTGAGGACTGTATAATGCAAAAATCCTGCATTTGAAGTGACAATCCTAGGTTTCAATTTTGATTCCACTGCTTACTAATCTAGCAATGCTAGGCAAGTTACTTAACAGTAGAGTTTTGGATTATATACATACATATTGTATATATATATATTTGATATATAGTATACAGTGTATGTATGTGTATGTATACAAAACCAAAGCTCTATTATTAGGTAATATGCATAAAAATAGACATAGATATAAGTATATTGTGTTTGTGTGCATATGTATATATGTGTGTATGTATCTATGCTATATGCCACACCTACTACACAGGGTAATTGTAAAAACCAAATGAGATACATGTAAAAGATAAGAATAGTAAGGCAATACCTGTAATTAACAAGAATAATTATAGCAATTAACTTGTTCTGAATACACACTCAACTCAGAAAAATCCTGTGGTGACTAGGTAGAGATGTGTTCAAAGAAATTTCAGAAATTCAATGGATGGATTGATTGATACCGCAAACTTTAGTCCTGAATTGTTTCTTTCCTTGCTGTTGAGGAAAAACTAAGTTAGGACTAAGTAACAACTAAGTTAGGAAATGAATTTTTGGAAAGCACATGAAAGTATCCATTCTTAGATGTGACAATTGACCATAAATCACTGAATACAATCATTTCTTCTCTAAATTGTTTTCAGTGTACCTCATATTAAATTACAGTATACAGCCAAGTGAGGCTGGCTATATCTAATCACACCACTTTCACAAAATGAAAACAAAAAGCACTGCACTTTAGAGAAAGTTACTATTGTCCCAAAATATCTCACCCTACAGAGTATCTTAACCTAAAAGAAAAAGAAGAGGTCCTATTATAACCCAAAGGGACCGCTGGATGTTTCTGTTTGTGGGACAAGAGGGCCCAAATATAGTTCTTCCTTCACCTGAAAAGCGAACTTAATGCATCGTCACTGTTGTCCTGAAAGCATGATACTGTAAGTATCTGTTTCATACCAAGAAAGTAGGTATACATTTGTCAAAAAGAGAAGGAAACTGAAGTATATGATACTTTACAAAACTTTTATGTCTCTTTCAAATCGGAAAAATGTACATGCTCACTATTTTGAGACTTTGGTGACCAACTAAATATTAGACGCAAACCAAGAGAATCCAGGGGTAAGAGTTAATATCAAGATAATTTCCTAACACTTGACACCATCCTTCTATTCATCCAGAAGCTAAATGAAATTTAGGATACTCACTTAACGTATTCTAACTCTTAACTGCTCTCCACTAGTCCAAAAGAGCTAGACCCTGCCTCAGTTCAGGTATTTACACTTTAAGAGACACCTGAAGTTGGAAAGGAAGATGAACTATGTCACAAATGGTAGATATTATGGACTTGCTAGAGATAATCAGGTATACCAGAATTATATAACTTACAGTCAAAACCCAACTGGCTAAGCTTCCCTATGAAAGATCTGCAAGGAAACATTGGTTCTTGCCTGCTGAATGGCTGAAGATGACAGCCCGTGGTGAAAGATACAAATCAGAGTGCTGAAAGTAACAATAACCTAGCAGGGATTGTGTCCTTTTGCCCACCACACACAACATGTATCATTTATCAACTGTAGCACTCCCACTAATTCTGGGCTAAACCCCAGAGTCCTTCTCAACAGTGATCGGGTGGCTACCTGCTGCCAGTGACTGTAGCTGCAATGGGAGATAAAACCTATTTTGCCACCCAATGTAGTATGAGCCAGATGTGGTAGCATCCATTTGGAGCGAAAGCCAGGTACCAAAGACTGAGCATTCTGTGTGGCTCTAGTGCTTCAGGACATACCTGCTACAGATGTTTCTAAGGCCTGTACCCCACTACCACTGGCTATTAGATTGGGCTATGTGTATCACAAGGTCTCTCAGTTCAGCGGAGAGAAAACATCACCTTACTAATGCTCTAAAAAAGCAGCTAACTATCCTGAAAGCTTTTCTGTGCAAAGGGCTATATTTTATAACCTTATGCGGTCCCAGCACCAAAGGAGGTGCTCAGTAAATGTTTACTGAATCTGTGATAATCAGAATCAAAGAGTGACAGAGCTGAGAGAGCGTAATGATCATCCGGAGGAAATGCTAAGGGCTCGTCTCCTGAGCAGCCCGCGAAAATGAGGTTAAAAACTGATCTCACCCAACTCCTTGCTCTGACAGATAAGCAAACAAAAAGTTTGGGAGAGAAGTGGCTTGCCCGAGGTCGCAGTGGCAGGTTCAGAAGGGAACTCTCCCGATTCCCAGACCGAAGCGTCCTCCCTCCCCGTGCTCATCAGAAAGGAGTGGGCGCGAAGCGACTACTTGGCAAGGCGCACTTGAAAATCAAAGTTCACACTGCAAGGTATGTTTTTGGGAATCGCATGGCTCCCTTCCAAGGAGACCATAAGCCTCTTCCAAAGGCTCAAGGGCAACAAAAAACATGGGCATCGAGGGCATCAACACATGTCACGGCAGACCCCCCCCGCAAGGGACACGCCCGCCCTGCCTCCTCAGACTCCGCCTGGCCCCACGGCCTTCCCTCCCGCGACCAGAGGTAGGAGCTCCAGAATCACCTAGCTGCCGGCACTGTTCCACCCGGCAGTGCCGCCCAATGTCCAACTCCGCCATCTCCCAGCGCCGCGAGAGGCGGGCACAGCCGCGGCAGGTCGGGACAAGGTCGCTCGCGCGGTGCCTGCTGGGAATGGGGTGGGCCCAGGGGCGGAGTCCGCAGGTGGGGGCGGGGCTCGTACTGAAAGCGATCGGGCTGATCCTTGTGCCCTGAGTTCTGAATGTTTGCTATCTGGGTCGCCTAGTGACGCGGCAGGAGGAAAAGGTGGTTTTTCTGTTCGGTTTTCCCTCGGGCGGAAGTCCTGTCGCCCAGTCCTTAGGAAAATATCCAACTGCCTTTATGGAAGATTGCGTGCGTGCGTTCCCTCCTCCGTGCTGCAATCGGAGTCCCGGACGGCCTCACAAGGGTTTTTTTTTTTTTTTTTTTTTTTTATTGACATAACTCCATTACTCTAGGAAGCACAGTTTGGCACAAGTATTTGCAGGAATCAAGTGAAGTAGACCGACCCTGGTTCAATTCCTCACTCGTCCTACACCAGTGTTACTTGATTATATAAATGCTCCTTGCAAAGGAGTCAGGGTTTTTAAAAAGTAGACGTTTCTTTTTCTGCCCTGCCCTTACTTTCTACAATCTAGTAGGAAAAAAAAGTCTCTAGCTCTTGAAGTCCTGAGTGTGCACCGAGCCGCATAGGGTCCCTCAGTTGAGAGCACAGACTGATTTAACACACGTCCTGAAGAAAGCTTGTGGTGATTCCATTGGGATGTAGGGAGGTAGGGAACTTCATGTGCTTGACAAGCCACTCCAAAGATACTGAGAAAGGAGAGACTCTTCTAGGTGGGGTGCAAATGGATGCCATTCCACTTAGGTGACACTAGACACGACTCAGAGTGGATGAGTGACAATCAAAGCTGTACTGAGAGGAATTGTAAAAATATCCAGTGCCTCCTATATAAATTTAAATATTTCCCAATCAATATTCATTGAGGAAGAGGGAAGGGTGGGGTTGGGAAATAGGTATCCTTACTTCAAGATTTGCTCTTGAATAAATCTATTTAAAATTTTCATCTCAGACTTTGCTTGGGTCTCTGGAGAAAATTTAGATTTTAGAACTGGAAGTAACAGAAGAAATCTAGCTATCCCAGCCTTTTTTTTTTTTTTTGAAGATGAGAAGACAGGTTCATAGAAGTTAAATAATTTGCCCAAATTAGTGGAAGAGCCAGGACTAAAATCCAAGTATCAAAGACTTCTGGTGTTCTTGAATTTAAGAATCAGTGGCTTATCTAGATTTTGTATGTTTCTTTTAGATGATTGGATCAACCAATGGCAGGTTTTCTAGAATTTTACTGTTAAAATGTTCTAGATAGGTGGCAAATATTTATTTATGAGTCCAATCTTAATGGAAATGTTTTTTCAGTTCACTAGCTTGGGAGTATAGGAAGCATTAAATGATTCAGATAGCCAAGATCACAGTTGCTAACTCTTCCATCTCTGTTTAGTCTCCTTTGCTGATTTCTCCTCTAGGTGCTACTTAAACATGCCTGTTTCCCTGTAATTTTGTGCTTGGTCCATTTATCAATTTGCATCCTCATTCAAATGAAATTCCCATGGTTCCAATGATCCCATAACCATATTCTCTGCCCTGAGAACTTGCTCCCAAACTGGAGGTTTCTAGTTCCATATTTCTAATTCTAAACTGGAATGCTTTCTTACCATACCATCCCCTCTCTAACAAGGGAAGTCTGCCACATTAGAAATCTTGGATTCATTTTCCACCTCTCCTTTCTTACTTCTCTCATGGAAGTAGCCATTGAACGCTCTCAATTATGTCTCAGAAATGTCTCTCAAACCTGTACTCTTCAATTTCTTGAGTAATTTCCTCCCAAAAAACTAACTTCCTTGCCCTAAGATCTTCCATTGGGTCTCCATTATTCACAAGATTTTTTAGCTTAGTTGGGACAAACTTAACTGGTAAAGCTCTTCACAGTTTCCAGCCTCAGCAATAACTGCTTCCCCTTATCTCCCTACTTCCCAATCATTTCCATAAAATACCTCTGGCTTTTTCAGATGTTCATACTTTGGCACATGCCTTTCCTTTTCCTTTGAATGTTTTCTATACCAGAGTTTTCCAAACTTTCTTGAGAATAACAATCAGGTAAAGTGCTTGTTAATAAATACAGCTACTTACATCTTCCCTGGGTCTGATTTAGAGGGTCTGGGATGGATCCTGGGAAGCTATGTTTTTAACAAGTGCCCTCACATTCATTCTTGTCATTGGATCAGTTTAGCAAACAGGTTTCACTCTTATTCCACCTTCAGAGTGCAATTCTGTTAACCTTTCACCTGGGAAAGGCTTCAGAATGCACAGACAAAATTCAGTCCTCCAGGACATCAGCCACATGCTAAAGTAGCACCTGCTACATACTTTTCTTACTAGCACTAACCAGGAAAGATTATAATGTACCTGACCAAAAAAAATCTTCAGTGGCTTCTATTAGCTACAAAATAAATTCTGCACTCAAGTCAGTTTAGCAAGTCTTTTGAGCATCTATTATATATCAGATATTATTCTAGGTTTGATACAGAATTGACTGAGACCCAACCTCAAGGAGCTCACATGGTCTAGGAAGGAATGACTCTGCTTGGCATTTAAAGTCTTTCAAATCTTGACTCAACCCAACTTTCTCTCACTCTTTATCTTTCAAAGGCCTCTTCATAATGGGTGCTCCTCGGAGCCTCCATCGCTTCACAACTGCTGTTCTTTCTATTTGGCATGCTCTTCCCTTTCCCATTCAATCTGGTTAAGTTCTGCTTTATTTTTTTAGCTGTCGACTCAAGTATCTTTTCCTCAGGAAATTTTTCTTTGTTCTTCCTGACTAGGACAAATCCTGCTATTATGACATTCACTTTGTATCTCCTTCAAGGCATTTGTCCCAGACTCGATTTTCTACTTGTTTGTATGATTATTTGATTAATGTTTCTCTCTCCCTCTAAACTGTAAGCTCTATGAGAACAGGGACCTGGGTTGTGGTTATATAGATATTCACTAACTCTTTGTGATATTCATGAATAGATATTCATTAACTCTTTGTTAATCTGTCTCTATATGTTTATGTACCTTTCTGTAAATTTGTTATAACCCTGAATATCAATTTATCTTGCATACCATATTCGAAATCAAATCTTGAATATTCTAAATTCAAACTTAACAATAACAGCTAAAATTTCTTGATTATTTTATTATGTACCAAGCACTTAAACGAATCATTTAATCTTCACAACACTTTAAGATATATGCCATTATTATCCCCATTTCATTGAATGGCTTATAAAAAAATTACTCACCTCCTGCCTCCCTGTCTGATCCTTTCCTCCTTCTTCAAGGCCAGCAATGTGTCCTCCTCAAATATCTCTCTTTTCCTGTCCTTCTCCACTTCTCCCTTCTCTTACTCTGACCCTTATGCCCTTCCTCTGTTAAGGACACTTGTGATTACATTGGACCCTCCTGGATATTTCAGGATACTCTCCCCATCTCAAGATCCTTAACTACTAACACTTGCAAAGTCCCTTTGGCCATACAAGGTGACATAGTTACAGGTTTCAGGGTTTAGGATGTGGACAACTTTGAGGGGGGAATTATTCTACCTACCCCAATATACATTCTTATATTTCCTAGAATTGTTCAGTGCTTGACACATGGTAAGGCCTCAAAAAATATCTGTCCACTGAATCAATGAATGAACAAGTCTACATTGACATTCAGCTGCACCAGAAGCTTTATAATCTTAATCAGTATTAATAAAAATAGAATCTTCAGAACAAGGAACATGGATGTGGTAGCTTGTTTCACTCTGCTTGACTGGTCAAAAACACCTGGGATACTGTGCTTGGTCTGAGTACCCCACTTCAAGTGTGAAAGAGGCAATCTAGGGCACATTTAAAGGAAGGCAACAGAATTGTGAAGAACAAAAAACAGTGTTATGTGAAACTCAGAGCCTTTATAATGTTTAGGGCTTAATCAGTAGAGTTGAGGAAGGGTGTGAACAAAGAAAAACCCATCATCAAAGCTACCGTCCCCACTATTATTATAACAGCCAATGTGTGCATCTGTGTGTGTATGTTTGTGCATTACATGTCTGCGTTTTGGAAAGTATCATCTTTTTTTAGCAACGGTTTGTCTCAGAAGGAGTTTTCACAGGCAATTATTCTTTAGAAAAATAATTTTAGTTGTCCTGATAAACATACATAAAAGTATTTTGAAATGATGTCTTCAATTGTGTTTTGGGACAAATTGGGTATTCACATATAATTAATTAACTATAAAAGATTTTTGGATGTGCAATAACAGCTACTATTAGCACGGCTCCTTGAAATTCTCACCAATGAAAAGGAATCAAATATTTTAAAATATGCATTCATTTCTAGAGAGTACATTTTTAATATGAGAAAGTGATTTCTTCCTTCTAAAGTGCTGGGTGCAACATCTGTCCAAAGTTTTTTCCTTTGCCCTGGTAAGACAGCCAGAGATTTTTTGAGAACCTTTGCAAACTGGTTTCAGACTTAAAACTTAGAAGTATAGGTGTCTCTTCTGTATCAGAATCATGACAAAGATGACTAGATCTAGGAAATGCATTTCCAAATATTTTCGTATTTTATACCATCATTTGAATATTTTATCACTTATGTTGTATTTCTTCATTCATTCATTTATTCAACAAATATTGATAGAGTGCCTACGATGTGCTAGGGTCTGTTCTAGGAACTGGGAATATAATGGTGAGTAAAATAAATAAAAATCTCATTTCTCATGGGGAGCATTCTAGTGGGGAGGGGCAAGAGACATAGACAGAATAACAAGACCAAGATAGCACATGATAGATGGTGGTAAATGCTATGAAGAAAAATAAAGTTGGGAAAGGGAATAAGGGTTCTGTAGGAGTAGATGGGTGAGGGGAGAGGGTTGCAATTTTAAACAGAGTGGGGTGAGAAAGTGATACTTAAATAAAGTCCTAAAAAAGGTGAAGGAGTGAACAAAATGGATGTCTGGTTTCTGGGCAAAGCAGCCAGTGCAAAGCCTCTTCAGTGAGAGTGAGCCTGTTGCATTCTAGCTGGAGAGGGAAGACCAGTGTGGCTGGAGCAGACTGGACTGGGGGGAATGGTAGTGAAACAGAGCAGGACGCTACGGTCCTTGCTCCCCATGTCCTCTGCCTGCCTTTTGTCTGTGGAAAAAACGTTAGCCAAAGAATAAGTTTAATCAGAGAAGTGAGAAAATACGGAAACAAAGGAAAACAGCTGAAGGAGACCAAATAATAATAGTTTAGTCATTAAGCAAATTCAAGGACTTTTAGTTCCTCCTCAGGGCTATACATAATATTCTGAGCCCTATCCTTTGAGCTATCTTACAAATATTGAAACCCTCATCAGGTGGAGAAGTTAACTACATGATGACCAGACTGTGTCCATGACATCAGCTGCCACAATTCCGAGAACTGCCTTCAAGAAATGGAAACAAACCAACCCTGGAACTGAAGATTAACTGTACTTAAAACAAGATGACGCTGGTCAGATCCCTGATGACCAATTTCAAAATGACTGTCAGAGCTGACTGTGCTGTTTCTGCATGTAGCCCCCTCCCTTCACCTATAAAAGCTCTTACCCCCTGATTGTCAGTGGGGGGAAGTCAGCCTTTGGACAGGAGTACGCCCTCCGCCCGGTTGCCGGCATCCAAAATAAAGCAGACCAACCTTGCCTCTTTATTGGCTTTTGAGGGGAGAGTAGCCAGACCCCATTTTCAGTTACGGTAGGATGTGTGGACATGGAGGCACTGGTGAAGTGAGGGTGTGGTTGGCAGCACTTCATGTCAGAGCTTGATGTTTGTGAAGATCTTGGCTTTTTATTGGAGTGAAGTGGGAAGTCAATGGAAGGTTCTGAGCCAGGCTCACTCTGGCTGCTGTGTAGGGAGACAGCAGCAAGGTCAAGGTGATCATAGGGAGGTCAGTCAGAAGTCTACTGCAGTATTTAACTGAGAGATTAAGAGTGGCTCAGAGCAGCGTGTTAGCAGTGTTGGTGGTGGCGAGTGGCCATGTTTTTGTACGTGGGGCTTGCTGATGGATTGGATGTGGGGTGAGAGAAGAGAGGTGTCAGGGATGACTGCAAGGTTTTGGGCTTGGGTGAAAGGAAGGCTACAGTTATCACCTGAGAGGGAAAGGAGCTGGATTGGAGATAATTTATATGTTCCTCCATTAGGTACAAAATCTCACCTGAGTGCACTCGGGTATAATGAAGTTCTGGTGGTAAATGAAGACGTTAAGAATCAACTTTGGGAAGGCTATGCAGTAAGGATGGTGTTGAGGTAAACGAGTTACATCTCCTTTTATATACATTAAGTGACTGGTGTAGAAAACACTTTACAGCCAAATCTGATAACCCTTAAATTCTTTAATTTCCTTCTAATCAGGGATGGGCAGAGATATGAGAAAACATGGATAAAGAGCTATGCAGGCAAAACTCAGTCACGGGTACCAGAGACCTTCATTATGAATTAGGGTAACAAAACTTTTATTTTTGCAAAATTATTGTTTTCCATAATGGCTGCTTTTGTAGTCATTATTGTGATTGAGTGTTATATACAATGAATATTTGGTTCTAAGAAACAAACAAAAAACCTGCTGATGGAAAGAATGTGTACATGCTTGTTGAGCTGTTTAATAAATAACTATTTGATGATGATTCTGCAGTATGTTTAAAGGGTAATTCTTCTTTTTTGGACAGTTCATCTGGCATTCTAAAAATGGATGTAATTTCAAGGGGTAACCAAAATGTGTCAATTAGCCTGACATCTAGGTCTTTTTAACAGATCTTTAAATTTCCAATTTCCTTTGCCATCTTAACCATGGTAAATCATCCTGAACAAATCATTCTTTTGAACAACAACCTCCTTATTAACTGAGATCAATTGAGATTAGAAAATGAAAAATACACTAGATGCTGAGAACTCTTTATGAAACCACATTTGTAAGATGAGTATTGAATGAAGATTACTGTGTTATTTTCAGCTTCTATATCATTGATTTAAACATTTATTCTCTATATCCCACTGCTGGATTGAACACTAATATATATTTGGATGGTGTGCTTGTTTGCAAGTATTATCTTTTCCCTATTGAGATTATATATTAATGGAAGGGAATTATTTTTAATTCAAAGGTAGCTTGCTTTGCACATGTGTTTTTGAAAGTGTTACACATCAAATTGAGTAGAACAGATTTTCCATTGAATTATAAATTAATGATTAACTCCTTTGTTCTAATTTCCTACTGATTTTCATTTGCTCTACAAGATCCTTAGCACATCGTGTGGCCCCTATGTGATCTGGACTCAGCCTACTTTTAAAGACAACCTCACAGCACTCTGCTCTTCTGTCTCCAGATACCCTGGTCTTCTTTCAAACCCTAATACTTCAGACTTGAGATTTTTGCACACACTGTCTAAAATGTTCATTCTCTAACACTACCTGCTTTATTTTTTCCATATAGTACATTACTTTCTTAATTATTTGTCTGTCATTCCCTAACTAGAAAGTAGCCTCCAAAAAATGCATGGATTTTAGTTTCTCTTTCCTCACTGCTGAATCTCTAGCATCTAGAACTGTGCTGGGTATATAGTATGCATTCAGAAAAAAATCGTAATGAATGAATAAATGAATGAATGAATGATTACTTACCCTGGAATACCAATTTCCCTTCTCTATACCTAGGTACCCTCTATTCATCATTCAAATTCCAGCTTAAATGTCACTTTTTCAAGCCACCATTTTTGACCCCTAGGGCAAGATCAGCTTTCTCTACGACTTGTTCTTACATGTCTCTGTATGTCTAAGTTCTCAATAGCACTTATTAGAACTTTAACTTATAAAGTCCATTATTTGTGAGATAATTTGCTTAGCTCCCGTCTTCTCTTCTAAACTGTAAAATGTCCTTATCTTGTTTTTAATCACCTCCCCAACATCTAGCAAAATGCCTGGAACAGAGACATGCTCCATAAATAGCTGTTGGATAAAAACATGGACAGATGGATGGTCAAGCAACTCCTCATTATAAATTTCAGTCCCTTTGTTCCACTTGTTCAATGTTCTCTCAACAAAAAAATAGTGGTTAGTGAACCAGAGGGAATGTTTTTCTATACCGGACAGGTTCTTATTTAAACATACTCCTCCATGAATTCAGTAATGCTTGTAGGATCCCTTAAAGCTGATGCCTCATACCAGCCTCTTTACCCCCCATGTTATTTAATGAAATAAATACTTTATGAGTTTCTCCTCTGGACCAAACTACACAGGAGGGAAAGGTCATGTAAACAGTAGAAAGACCAGAAGCTTTAAAACAGAAAGATCTCCTACACTTTGACTGCCTGTGTGAGCTTGGCTAAGTTACCAGTTGAGCCATGGGTTCTTCATCTGTCAAAGAGAAACAGCAATACCTATCTTGTGTGGTTGTTGTAGGGATTATTAATAATGCATGTAGTGTGCTTGCCATATAATAGGTGCTCAAAATATGGCATCTGTTACTACTATCACGATAAGGTAAGCTCCTAGAGGGCAGAATACACTTGCATTCCCAGAACCTTATGTATAGAATACTCTTAGTAAAGGTTGGTTAAACTGACCAGCAGAATATGTGCTACTTCTCCACTCTCAACGGGTTTTAAATCTAAGCATGAAAATAAGTTCCAAAACAGATTCATGAAATATTTAGATAATAACAAAATATAATCCTTATTATAGTGTACTATATACAAGATTAGAGCAAAATATGTGTTACAGGCCATAAGTGCTTTGGATGGCCAGGCAGGAAATGGTAAGAGGTGGCTGGCTATAGTTATTGGGAAATGATAAGTTCCCATGTCTGTGTGTGTAAGATATAGACCAGTAAGCCTCCTATAAAAATATTCAATTTCTTTGTCATTAGCTCTACCAATGTTGGATAAAATGATAGAAAGCATCAACCTGATGCTTCTGGGTAAATATGATGGCAGACAAAATTGGGTTATTGATCTTGAGTAGCAAGCTGTATCTGTCATAGTAATGGATGCTTTTTCCCCCTTTAACAATCAGTGGTTAGTTAGCTAATGAACACAAATAGGTTCTGATGACGGTGAGTAACGCTGCTCAAATAGGGCTGTATTATGTGGAGTACATCCTAGCCTTGGAAAACTAGAGCATAGACTCAATCCCATATTCCCCTTCTTCGCAGCATGCTCTGTACAGGTTTTCAGTTGAATTGCATCATCCATAATCATTACTTATTGTGGTCCCTTTATCTTAACCAAACTCTTTGGTTACAGCTCTACTAGATGGGACTGAGATAGTGAGAGTGAACAAAACAATGCTGCTTTTTCCTAAGACGTTGTCTCCTTTTTGTTACTTAGGTGTCTCAGTAAATGTATTTGACATAGATCCAAACACAGGCGCCCCATTAAAGGCTTTGGTACACTAGCAATCATACTGAAAGCTTCAGATGCCTAGTTACAGAACTGAATGCAGCCATCAACACACTCAGAAGTCCTCACATTAGGGAAAGAGATGACCACCGTCTTTTGTCACCTCAAGTCATGTAAGGATGATCTAGAATCCACCCATGCCAACTGGCAGCCAGGCACACATCAACCTGCCCAGATTCTACACCTGCGGCAACAAGCCCAGTCAGACCAGCCGTCCTGAGAAAGAGCTACTTGCCCACACACCTGCATCACAGTGGCAGACAAGTGTCCTGCAAGCCGCTGCCCTCCACACTCCTACACACACCATGCACACCTAGATGAACGCGCCTGAATATTCTTATTCACAAGGACAGAGACCTGACACTGTGCTCACACGATCACAAACAAAAACACATGTGGAATTATGCATCTTGTTCATCCAGGGCAGCAAAGCGCACTTATTATACACAGGCTTTCATGCCCCGCCCAAGACCCTTGGAAGAGCGGTTTGCTTTTCTCTGAGCCATGCACAAACTAGTCCTTCACCCCCGGGTGCGTGCCCAGCGTAGATAAAAGAGCAACTCAGCTGCAGTCCCGTCGCTCTTTTCAACTCTTTTCTCCGCCTGAACTCCCCGGGGGCCGGGTGGCGCCGGTCGGCCACGTCCGACTCCGGTGCCCTCCCCGCCCCTGCCGCGCGACGGGGCGGGGCCCAGCCGGCGGCCAGGAAATGCCCAGGAGAGGGTGTCACCTGGGCAAGCCCGACGACGTGTTGATTCCCAGGATCGCCGCCTTCCCGGGTCTGGGCCTCCGAGACCCGAGCCCGATCGCGCTCACCTGTTCCCCAGGCGCGGCCCCGGGGAGCCCTGGGACGCTCCCGGGACTGCTCTCACCCTTCAACTCCACAACCATGAGCAAGTTGGGCAAGTTCTTTAAAGGGGGAGGCTCTTCCAAGAGCCGAGCTGCTCCCAGCTCCCAGGAAGCCCTGGTTCGACTTCGGGAGACAGAAGAGATGCTGAGCAAGAAACAAGAGTACCTGGAAAATCGAATCCAGAGAGAGCTCAGCCTGGCCAAGAAGCACGGCACGAAGAATAAACGAGGTAGGCTCGGGGTCTGGCCCCAGGCGTGAACTCTCCCCTCCTACCTCCAGCCGTTTCCTTGGGGACAGTCCGGTCTGGCCCACAGCACCTGTCCCCCAGGCCACCAGGTGTGCTCCCATGGCCTTTCTAGAAACTGGTAATGACCCCCCAGGGGCCCGGAGTTAGAGAGAGCTGAGCAAAGCACAGTCCTAGAGGGCAAAATGTAAGGAGGCATCACATATCTCAGGAATCAAGATGAACAATATTTTTATGCAATATTTTAAAAACTCAAAGTTGATACAAAAGCATCCATAATGAACAAAATATCAATATTTAAAATAAAAACAGGATTGGTATTATTGATTCTTTCCTGTTGCAGCTGGCCCTTATGTGTTCTGCACAGCCCTTCTTTATTTCAAATTCGTTCTGAAATGTGATGTTTTGTTCATCGTGGATTTTTTTTGCATTAATTTTGAATTTCACAAATATTGCACTGAAATATTATTTATCTTGATTATTGCTTTTTTGGGTGCCCCCTTAAATTTTACTCCTGGCTTGTCTCACCCTGGTCCAGTCCTGCTGATTTCGATGCTAAATATCAACTTTTCTGCCGTGTGTTTGTATTTTGAATCGTACATTTTAACTTGCTTGTAAATCTCCATTGAAGTATATTCTAGTATGTTCTGGTTTCCCTTTTCCTCAGCTGTTGAAGACTTTAGTTGGCTGTTGTGCAGTTGAGCTATTATACCAAAAAAGTAATGTCGGAGAATTAAATATTAATTCTATCACTGGCTTTTGCCACGCGGAAAGGACTTTAAGTCAGTAATGATTCTTGGTGATCCCCTTGCACCTTGAACCTTTTGTTCTTTGCCAGAGCTAATTGGTTTCTTCAGTGTATGGCTCTCTCTATAGAGAATAGATCTAAACAACACCCGTGGCACATATAAAAACCCAGCAAGAAGTTGAAGTGATTTGCTCTTGTAACACAAGTTCAGTGACAGACCCAGAAATAGAAGTGGCAATTTAGGACTCTGCTCACCACCAAACCCTGAACTTGCGTCCTCAAGTTGGGCTTCTTGAGTCATAATGAAGCCTTGGGAAGATTTAGTTTGCCCTAAATGACCCTGCTATTGTTTAACACAGGAAAGGAATCATGTCTCCTGGAGTCGACCTTGA